CCACTCCTCGGAAGGAAGATGGGGCAATCTACTTCCATAGTGATACTGCCTCGGAAACCCAAGGAGGGGTCGCTATGAGTCGGGTCTGACTCGACAGCACATAACAACAACAACAACAACAATATGTTGTTATGACTATGCAAATATTATTCCCTGCAGAACTAACATTGCAACATTTGTGCTACCCAAAAACTAATGTCCAATTTCTTCCTTATATGTCAATTACTCAAATGCAAAATATAAAGTTTACTTCAGAATTGGACTATATCTTTTTTTAAAAAAATATTATTATCTCCCATCTTGGCTGGACTTTTTCTCTTACTTTCATTTCTAGATCTCTAATCCATCATGCTATTCTTCATCACCCAAATCACTACTTCCTACCTTTACCTACTTATTCAACAATCATTTGAGTCCCTCCTATGTGCAAGGCACAATATTGACACTGGGGAATGTATTATAGCTTGTGGGCACGTGAGTGTGAGAGACTATGTGTTGTTGTTGTGGTGGTAATGAGAATAACAAAAGTAAATGAAATACAATTACAATACAGACCCTTCCCCTAGAGGTTCTTTCCCAAAAAGAGAATGCATTATACAATGAGAGAATATAAACTTTGATTTCTATTTCTGACCCATAGAAGCTGTGTGATACAGGGCACACTGTTTTCTCAAAATGAGCATGACAGCACATAATTTGAAGAGTTGTGAAGATCCAAAATAATGTATGTGAAGTGACTTGGTGAATGATTATCAGTAGTTCTTATTCTGTATCTGGTAACTCCTTTAATTTTACCTTGGATTTTCTTTTGAGGCTTCATTATATTTATAGAGGTTTATCCCAGCCTTGTAAAATGATGAAACATGAATCCTGACTCTTCTTATCTCCCAGGGTTTGAATCTGAGGCAAATAATCCCCAAAAGATTTAGGGGCCCACAAGATACTTACTTATTTTACTACAATCTACGTAAGGAGCAGGGTGTTCTAGGCGGTAGCACAATGCCTTCTCATGGTAGATGTTAGAATAATCCTCGAGGGCCTTTGCAAGGTTGTAATTGGGAAACAGCAGTAATGCATTTAGTATGAAGGTTCTGGTGCCATTTGAAATTTTAGTTTCAAGTTCTAAAGAGATAATAAGTTTAGTTTTCATTTTAGGAAATGAGCCATCAGATTTTATTATAGAAAATGAGCCATCCCAAGGACAAAAAGCCCAAAAAAGATGGCCAAATAAGCTCCAGGAATTAAAAAACAGATGATTATATTTGAAGAACACTAACTACTTTCCAAAAAGATAGTTCCAATTGATAGCCAATGACACTGTTCTTGCAGAAAATTGCAGAGTGTTGAAAAATCCTTTTTTTTTTTTTTTTGTTAATTGGGTGCCCACATGATATGCCTTCCTGGAACCTGATATAAACAAGAACACATACAAAAGATTTTTCTCATTTCTGATCCTAAGTGATCAACCAAGGGACCAAAGCAGAGGTAGTAGAAAACAGCCTAGAATTCAACAGTTGCTAATAGAAAATTCTGCTATCTTTGAGAATAGAAAAATTTTCAAAGATACATGCTGATAGGTAACTACTGTTGTTGTTATATGCCGTCGAGTAGATTTCAACTCATAGCAACCCCTACTTGGGTTTCTGAGGCAGTATCACTATTGAAGTAGATTGCTCCATCTTCCTTCTGAGGAGTGGCTAGTGGGTTTGAACCTCCAGCTTTTGGTTAGTGGTCAAATGCGTTAGGCACTACACCACCAGAGCTCCTGATAGGTAACTAATGTCTCTTCAAATAATAAATTGAATATAAATAATAATTTGTGACTAGATTACTAAAGAAATGTTTAATTTATGAGTTACAATTATAGAACTTTTATATTGAGTTCAGTATAATCAGAAAATAAAAGACTAGTCCAATCAAAAGATTCTTATAAGACACTTTGAGGAAAGAGATGGCCAAGAGGTAAAACCATGGCAATTCTTTTCTGAGTAGATCTTACCTTGATGTAGAGGAAATTATCTATCCAGTGTGAAGAATATTGACCACTGTGCAAAAAATGGTAAAGACTAATTATATAGATTAAGTACTGTTCAATAGAACTGTTCATTTTCTATAACTCTGCTGTCCAATAGGCATATGTGGCTATTGAGTACTTGAGATGAGGCTAAGGAATAGAATTTTTAACTTAGTTTGATTTCAATTAAAATTTAAATAGCCACATATGACTAGTGGCTACTGTATTGGACAGCACAGGTATAGTATAATATCTTTTGGGTTCTCCCTATAGCAATCATAAATATCTTCTCACCTCCAAAACATGGAGAAAGATCTCTGTAGGTGAGGAAGATAAACCTATCTGACAACATGATAAAGGATTCCTTAAGGGTGGGATAAGTAAAAATTGGCAAAAACATGTATATTAAAAAATCAGCCAGTTCAGTACAGATACTGACAGAATATCAACCAACTAAATTGGACACCAACTATAAAGGACTGGTGTGACCATATTGATGTATACTGATGAAATATCTCCACAGAATTCTAGAGAAGGCTGTGGTTAATATCTGCTTTTTTGGCTTGCTTCAATGCCCATTTTCCATACTTGTGTTAAGAGTTTCTCTGATTTTATAACATTTTTGACTAATAATCTGTGTGTGTTTTATTTACTTTTCTAAATTACAGGACTTATCAAGACAATCGATAATGTTTGATAGAAGTGATGAAATGATAGATCCTTAACTGTTGTTGTTAGCACCATCCAGCTGGCTCTGACTCATAGTGACACTATGAGTGAAATAATACTCAATACCATCCTTATATAATACCATCCTTACTATCTTGGCTATGCTTGAGCCCATCATTTGAAGCCACCGTCTTAATCAATCTCGTTGAGGGCCTTCCCCTTTTCCACTGACCCTCTACTTTAGCAAGTATGACATCCTTCTCCAGGGACTGGTCCCTTCTGACAACATGACCAAAGTACAAGAGACAAAGTCTGGCTTCTACAGAGCATTCCAGTTGTACTTCTTCCAAGACAGATTTGTTGGTTCTTCTGGTAGTCCATGGTGTATTCAGTATTCTTTGTCAACACCACAATTCAAAAGCATAAATTCTTTGGTCTTCCTTATTAATTGTC